TCCTAATTTGGCACGGCAGGGGGCACTAGCAGGCTCACGACCGCTCCTAGGCCCCACCCCGTGACAATCTCCACATCCAAACTGTTAATAAATATGTTGAAAAATAATGGACTGAGCACTAACCCCTGCGGGACATCGCTGCCCACTTCTCGCCAGGAGGATGCAGACCCGTTCACTACGACTCTCTGGATCCTATCCCGCAGCCAGTTTCTTACCACCTGACTGTCTCGGGGTTAAGACCATAATCCTCCAATTTTCTTGCGAGGACATCGTGGGATACTAGATCAAAGACCTTTTGGAAGTCTAGGTATACAATGCCAACCAGCTCTCTCGTATCCAGGTGGTGAGTTACCTGGTCATAGAAGGAGATGAGGCTGGTAAGACAAGACCTGCCCGTGATGAAGCCATGCTGGCTGTCATTTAGAATCTTACCTTCTACAGGCTTATTGCAGGTCGACTCCTTGAAGAACTTTTCTAGGAATTACCCTAGGATGGAAGTTAGGCTGATTGGCCTATAGTTACCCGGGTCCTCCCCCCTGCCCTTCTTATGGATGGGCACAACATTGGCCCTCTTCCAGTCCTCAGGGACTTCTCCAGAGTACCATGAGTTGGGGAAGAGTTCTGCCAGGGGTTCCACAGTGACTTTGGCCAGCTCCTTCCACACTCTCGGATGAAGATCATCCAGTCCCGCTGACTTGTATATGTCTTATTTTATTAATTGGTCATACACCAATTCTACAGCAATAGTAGGAAGGCGATTATTCCTACCGTGCTCATCCTCTACTTTCCTGGCGTGGTTTTCCCCTTGGTCTGGTGAAAGATCAAGGCAAAATAGTCATTCAGGAGTTCCGCCTTCTCTTGGGTAACCAGCTCTCCTGAGTTGGTGAGCAATGGCCCTGCACTCCCGTTTGTTTTCCTCCTGTTTCCCATGTACCTAAAGAAGGACTTCTTGTCGTCCTTGATTCCTGTTGCTAATCTAAGTTCGGTCGCCACTTCAGCCTTTCTAACAGAGCATCACCTCTGGTTGGCCCATGCACCTCCTGAGTCGGGAAGAGTTCCTCGACACAGGTCAGGAAGGATCGCAACTGTTTCAACTTAGCCAAGTGTTTCTCCAAGGAGATGTTTGGATAATTAAAATTGCCCATGAAAACCATGTCACATGCATGTGCAGCCTCAGTCAGTTCTTGGGTGAACTTTAGATTGAGTTCCTCCCCCTGGTTTGGTGGTTTGTAATATACACCTACAGTTAGGTCTCTCTCGCTGCGCACTCCTCCCTTCCCCCCACAACTTGACCCACAGGGTTTCAAGCTGTCCATTTTTTGAGCTGATGTTGGCCTCCAAAGAGGTGTATTCGTACCTTCCCCAAGCCTACCCTCTTTAACCAATAAAGCTCTCCACTATAACAAGCTTGGTGGACTTGCTGGGAGAGGGATTGGGCCATGCCTTATGCTCCCTATGCTTGGCTAACTAGGGGAAGCTACTATCACTGTAGCAACACTATGATGATATAGTGTATGTGGACAAGAACCGTGATGCTACAGCTATGCCACTGTAGCAACGTGCTCCCCCATTATAATGTGTTGCTATGGCAATGTATTGCCTAGAAATAACTATGTGCGGCACGCATGGTGCAGTATGGGCTGTTAGTGTGCCGTCTTTTAATACTTCCAAAAGGAAGCAGTAAATGATGGCGCAGTAATAACAGTGCCACAGCAGCATGTGGAGATGAGCCATCTATGAGAAGTTTAGACCAATAGTTCTCAACTTTTTCAGGGTCAGGGCAACCCTCCATCACTTGACTGTGGCAGCACCCCTACTTGAGAACCATTGTTGGTGCTGCCTCAACTTATCTAAGTGTTTCTCAACTGGGTGTTACTGGCTACAGATAAAGTTGCCCCATGTGCCTGCTGCACAGCCAGTCCAGGAAGGGCTGTGGCATGTGCATGTGCTCCTCCTGCATCAGGGCTCCGATCAGCATATAGCTGGCAGGAGATGTCTCATGCTGTATAGCCCTTCCCGGTCTGGCTTCTCCTATGCTCTTCCCGGAAACAAAGGTGAAAGTGTGGAACTGTCCTGCATGCCTGTTTCTGGGAGGAACATGGGAGAGACCAGACTGGGAAGGAAGGGCTACAGCCAACCCAGTTCCAGCCTGCTTTAGGCCAGAGCCCTAATGCAGCACAAGTGAGTGCAAGGCAGTTTTATCTGGCTGCTGTGGCAACAGCACCTGCATCGTGGCACTCCTGAGGGATGCTCGTGGTACCTCAGCCGAGAACCACCTGTTTAAACACACTGAATGCACTATATAAAATGAACTAAATAATTTCATACTGACTTACGTTACTCTATCACAGATGTACTCGTATTATCCTCAAAAAATTATAAAACTAAGAAATTTAGAATTAAGGATAAATATAAAGAAATCCTAAAATGGCTGTGCATAGATAGGAAACCAATCGTAACTCTCAACTGTTTTTCCAGGTAATGTTTTACCAACAAGAAAATTAAACTACTGTGTATACACAATACTTTTTATGTGTTCTGTAGTTACCATATGCTGTCCTGTGGTCATTTTAGGTCCCTTTTTCATGATGAGTTCATCTAAATACTCAGCTTTTTTCTCCCAGGTTTTTAGTGCCCGATATTCATTTTTCATTTTTTCCAGTCTAAAGAGAAGAATCAGTCAGTAAGTTTGTATCCAAACCTGCAGGATTGTTTGTCAGGCCAGAAACAGATGACCAGCTTATTCTGGAGCTAAATGTCCTGGGTTTTGTATTTGACTTGTATTTAAATAATTATGTAAAAATGGTTTACATAAAATTAAAGGATCTATGCACACCAAGGTGGGCTAAGGCCACGAGGTCTCCCTCTGTGGCTATGCCTCCTCTTCCCCATGCCAGCCAACCCCTCCCCTCTCCTCCCCACCACTAATGGCCAGCCACTTCATTGTACCTCAGTTTACTGGGCCCTGCAACCCCCCTGGTACTCAGCTCTGCCCTGGTGTTATGCAGTGAGCATGCTGGTTCAACCTCGTGTCCTGGCTATTCCTTCCCTCCCCCATCCTAGCCAGCACAACTCCTGCCACCCCAGCCCAACTCCCTTCCCCTGACCCAATCCCAATTCACTGAGACGCATGCAAGATTTTAGTTCTTTAATTTTCTTTTTTTCTTTTCTTTCACTCCTTTCTCCTTACTGCTCCTGGCCCCTTCACTTCAAACAGCTTTTCAAGATTTCACTCCCATCCTTGTCTCTGTCTTGGCTCCTACTGCTGCAGAGGGAAGGAAAGCCCAGACTCCATGCTCGTTTCTCCACCTCTGCCATCCTCCCCCTCCCCTCTTCCACCCGTGAGGAGGAATAGAGTCCTGGCTCCTATCCACATTGCCAGGCCCTCTAGTGGCAAGTCACAGTTGTGCAGGTCTGAGACAGCATTAAACTATAACCTGTGACTACTATGAAACTGTTCTAACTTTATAAGGACATAACATTCCAAAGATTTTAAATGTTTTAAAGGTAACCTGTAACAGCACCATTTTAATGGTGGGACCAATAACAATCAAGTCTCTAGGGCAAGAGTTGGCAACCTTTCAACAACAGTAGGTCAAGTTAACACTGCTCTGTTTTCCACAGGCAAAAACAGCAGTTGATAGAGATGGCAGGCAGGAAGTAGCAGTTGATGGAGGCAGCTGCTAGATAGTGGATTCTTGGGCACACAAGCTTAGTGGGACAAATTAAATCTCCCCACAAGCCAGTTTCAGCCTGTGGGTCATGGGTTGCTGGCCCCTGCTCCAGGGTATCCTGCCATTTGGCTATCAAGTAGAAAGGTGAAAACAATTGCACCTAAGAGCTTGTCTACATTATAAGAATCTCTGCCACTACTTCTGTGTAACATATAGCTGTCAGCAGCATCTCCTAGTGGAGATACATCTTAAATTAAGGGGAGTCTTTCTGCTAATGCAGCTAAATCACCTTTCCAAATGGCATAAGCTAAGCCAATATGAAGGCCATGTGGTAAGCATCAGAACTAATTGTCTCCTACCCATGGCCTCCTATTCAGGCTCTTTCTTTACAAACATGAGGTTAATTAAAGAAGTATTTGTTTTGTATTCTGTACATAGAAGTGCATATAATTGCTTGCCTGTTTTGAGGTGGAATCTTTTTCAGACCATTCTGAAGTATGCCTAAGCCCTTTGAGGATACACCAGGTGAAGAAATTTCTCTCTCAACAGTTCCGTCTGCCATACTCTGATCTGGAGATAAGAATGCTGGATATCCCAGGAACTGTGCTGTGGTGACACTACTACCAAAAAAGACAAAAGAAACACAAGAATCAAAATCCTCAGTGAAAGAAAATTAGTTAGATGGAGAAAGAGAATGTGTAAATAATCTTTCACAGAAAAATAAATTGTTTCTATGCTTATTATTTTCACAGACCTTACATAGTAAGAATTTTTGGATAAAGGGGAAAAGCCTCTTCTCTCACAATGACAAAAGACTATTCCAAAGTGAATGCTCTTGAGTTCTAAAGCAAAGTTACGTGTACTGTTAAGGACATTCTGGGGAAGCTATGGTCTTACCACTTTCTGGAAAAAATAACTTGGAGCTGAAATTTCTCAAGTTCTCTCTTGGCTAACAGAAATTATTTTACAAATTAATATAACATTCCATTGTCAGAGTTCCATTTTTGGACCAAAAAGACTAGTCCAGTGGTTCTCAACCAGGGTGCCAGGAAACCCTTGGGTGCTGCCAGGTCTTTAGATAGGTGCCACAAGGTTGTGAGGAGATAAGTGAGGTGTGAGGAGGTAAGCAGATAAGCTAGGCTTAGGCGGGTCTTAGGTTTCAGGTGATAAAACTTGCTTCTTCCTTGTAAAATTATGAAGATTTAATTTTTAAAAATGGCTAAAACTCAAAGATTGTGAAAATTATGAAGATTTAATTTTTAAAAATTGGCTAAAATATTGATAAAAAATTTGATATTTGTTTACTTGAACATTGTTGAACTTTCATTTCTACCTGGGAGAACTTTTACAGTCTCTTCTCCTATGCCGGAAAAAGGGGGTTGTGCCCAAAAGCTTGCAGTTAAAGATTTTTTTTGGCAAAAATCTGGTTGGTCTAATAAAAGATATCACTTGTACCATGAGTTCTGATTCCTTTAGAGCTATGAAGGATTTAAGATTTTTTGTGGGGTCTGATTAAACGTAGAAGCCACATTAGGGATTTATGTAACAATTTGCATTCCTTTCCCCCTATTCCACTCTCACGTGTCAAAAGGTGGCTACCAAGAGAGGGAAAAGGCAAAAAACAATACTAGATGTTTCACATTTTTGGTACTATGATTACATGGTTATGTGTCTCTTGGAACTTGTTACATGGTATCAGAGATCATAAAATCACAGAAATTAGGACTGGAAGTGACTTCAAGAAGTTATCTATTTCATTCTCTAAACCCAAGGTAAGATCAGCTATACCTAAACCATTCCCCAAGGTCTGTTTTCTAATCTGTTCTTAAACTTGCAATGATAAATATTCTACCATCCTTATCATTTAATCTATTTCAATTATGATAACCAGTTCTCTCTCTGCCACCTTGCTTACCTAATAATTCAGAAGGCCATGAAGATTACTGCTGAATACTATGGCCTGAGTACCACATCTTCTTGCTTATGATTTTGGTACTCAGGACCCATCTTCTTTCTTCCCTTTCTTAAAAATGGGGACTATATTTGCCCTCTTCCTGTCATCTAAAACCCCTTCTGTCCTCCACAAGTTTTCAAGTAAGATAGCCAGTCATTCTGGACTTACCTCAGCCAATTCCTTTAGTACTCTAGGGTGCATCTTGTATGATTCTATTGACATGAAACCATCCAACTTCTCTAAGTAATCCCTAACCTATTCTTCCACTACAGTAGGCTGCATATCTCCTCCCCTATCCTTGCTGCCACCTGCACTTATCATCTGGTATCTGGACCTTATTTATGAATAGTGAAATAAAAAAGGCAGTGAATACTTTAGTGTTCACTGCCTCATTTGTTGCTAGATTGTCTTCTGCAATCAGTAAGGGACCTACACTTTCCTTAGTCTTTCTCTTCTGTTTTTGTTTTTTTCAAAATAACAGAATTGCATAAAAGAAACATGACTTCATCACCAATTTCTTTTCATTGGAATAACTTAGAAGGTTCTGAATTTTAGCTAGCAACTCATGTCAAGAGCTAAAAGAATTTTGAGAAGATCCTTAATATATAATTCCCAAGAACCTTTGACAATCCCTTCTGTCTTTCAGTGGTGGAATCCGAAGAAACATGGAACGTTTAATAGTCTTCTGAAGTTCTGGTTCAGGCTGTTTCAACTACAAAAGAAAAACATTGATAATTAGCAGTGTAAAAAAATGAGATATGAGGAAGCAGGAGGCCCCAAGGTCCTGGGCATTAGGGCTGTGTGAAATTTCACCTGCAGTTTCCTTTCAACGCTGTTCTGGCTCGTTTTGAGCTTGAAACAGTGAAATCAAAATGAAACGAAGGGATTCAAAACAGCCTTGAAACGAAATGAGGGCAGTCAAAACATTCTGAAAGTTTCAAAACTCAATCAGGGCTTGCCTGCAGGGAAACAAAGTAAGGACAGGGTGGGGGAAGAGGGAGGAAGGAGTGCTCTCATATTGGCTGTGCAGCTGGCCAGTGACTGTGGTCCTTCCCTGAGGTCCCTTCCAATCCCAGTGCTCTGGGGGAGGGATGGAAAAACAGCATAAAAGGCAGCATTGCTTGAACTGACCTGCTTTCTGTCACCCATGTCACAAGTGTTGCTTGCCAGCAGCCTGCAGTGCAGTTTCCCAGAAACCCCTGCGCCTCTCCCCTTGAAAGCTTGCAGGCTTCATGGCATCAGCAGGCGCTACCATCCCTGCAGTTTTCACCCCACTGTGCCTTAACTCACACACAGTGTCACCCATGTCACGAGTTTTGCTTGTCAGCAGCCTAAGGTATAGTTGCTCAGAAACCCCTGCCCCTATCTCCTTGAAACTTGGCAGGGGCTACCATGCCTGCAAGTTCCATCTGAATCAGGCAAGAACTGACAAAATTATAGGCAGTTTCATGGTTCCCCATTATAGCCTATGGGCAAAATGTCGAAACAGTGTCAAAACAGCGAAACAGTTTTAACAAAATGAAATGGAACAGTGGTTTCAAAATTAAACTTGAAATGAAACACTGTCCCATTGAAATGTCAAAATGGAAGTCAAAACAAAACAGTGCTATTTCGTACAGCTGTACTGGGTATGACTAGAAACTATACCCTGCTGGGCAGGAGTGGCCTGGTGGGACTCCCTGTGGTGAGCGAGTCCCCAAGAAATGCCAGGCCAGTTACCTCCCCGGTGAAAGGTGGGTGGGCTGCCTTAGCCCCAGCCTTCAACATCCCGTGGGTTATTAATGAGAGTGGTGGGCCAGGCACAGTGATTAGGGGCACCTGAGCCTATGAGGGTGTTTGACCTCATGCCCTAGTGAGAGGGCAAAGTTGAAATGCCTTAGTGGGAGGACTTAGTTGAGAGGCCGTGGGGAGAAGGCACCGATGAGGTTAGCCCAAGAGAAGGGTGAAGTTCTCGGTCAGGGACTAGGGCGAAGTCAGCTCAGAGTTTGGCTAATTGCCTAGTCACTGCTCAGATGAGGGTTGTGGGAGAGACCCAAAAGGCTGCGCCAGGGCTAGCCGAGGAGCGTAGTCAAGCCAGAAGGCCCTCCAGGGTCACTCAAGGGAGCAGGCCCAGGGTAGGTGGTGTGAGAGAGGCCTGGTGAGAGCAGGCGGAGTGAAAGAGGCCCTGGTGAGAAGGGGGTGGTGAGTGTGGCCCAGAACAGGGCGGTATGCCAGAGGCCTATCTGTGTACTGAGTTTGGCCTGGCTACAAGCTGGAGATGCAAATAACACACTCAGTTCGGTACGAGGCATGGGACACATTAAGGTAAGGTCAGAGCGTGTACATATCACCCTTGGACATCAGTAGGCCAGTACTTAGACTGGGCCTTGGGACTTTGCCTCTTTTTGCCACACTGTGAAATATGAACTTTGACTTCTACCCAGGAGAACTTTTACAATCTTTTCTCGGATGCCTGATGAAGGGTGTTTGTGCCCAAAGCTTGCAATTAAAGAATTTTTTTTTGAAAAATCTTGTTGGTCTAATAAAAGGTATCACCTCTACCATAAGCCCTGATTGATTTTTCCTCTAGACCAATACGGCTACAACCTGGATACCTGGACAATAAGAAAGATTTTATGGCATGGTGCTTACCCACAAGGTTGCTCTGAGTGCCATAATCCCATTCCCATATCATAAAAGAACAAGAAATAAAAGACAGGTCCTCACCTGGTGTGAGTAACCATATCCAAAACTTCCATAGCAGAATGTAAACTCCACTTGCAAAGTGCAGACAACCTGGCAATATAAAGAAAGACTCTCTTTTTTAAATACAATAGTTAACTCTTATTGTAAGCACATTTACATATAAGTTCTCTGGTAAAATACATGTATGGTAAGCAAAGCAACAAGATATGACGTACCCCAGTCATAAGCATATCATGTTTTATAGGATCTTTATATTATCTTTTCCTTTTTTCTTTCATCAATCTATTGTTCTTAATAATAGACATTCTCTTCATGACCACACACAGAAAATCTTTGTCACTTGTAGGCTTTGCCTACAATGGGGCAACATATAAAATATTCTTGGATGTTTAAGCATTCTAGTATAAAATCAATCTCTTTACAAAACACTTTACAAATTTTAGTATATATTTTGTTTGATTCATTCCTGTATGGGTTATGCATAATTTTTGTATTTTAATTTTTAAGTGTCTAATGATTCAGGTGATAATACCAAACGTTATTCTCTATATTCTATTATGTATGTACATAATGGTTAGATTCACCTCCACTGCTCAAAGGGGAAATATATCATTGCAAAGAAGCAGGCATTGTTTTTATTGCCAACTTTCCCTCAGAGGTTATGCCACTGGAAGAAAAGGGTACTTTATGGACTTCACTTGTGGATACTGCAGTGAGGTTGCACTGAATTAGTCTTTCTTCTAATCTAACGTTTATATTACACATGTGTCTGCAACTAAACAAAATCATTTGGCAATAACAATAGTATGTATGTTTAATACTTTATAGTTGTCACCAGAAATCTTACTATGTTTCTATTCCTCATGGTCAGTGTTTCAGTGAAATGGCTTCTCTGCAGAGATGAGGAAAGACAGAAAAGAAATGCTTTGATTCATTAATTTTTCAAGCAAAGGGTTTATATAGTATATTATCAAGTATGTAAAAATATAAGAACTTATAACTGTATCAGATGTTACACACTCCTTTCACACAAAGATCATTTAAAAGTCAAACAAAAGCATTCATAATTGAAAAGTCAGTCAAGCAACAATGCTTGATTGTCCAACCATGACACAGTGGAAAAAATATTTTTAGTTCAATCGCTTTTAGTTCATTTTTCAGTTCTACCACATTACTCTTTGTCCTAAAGCCAGATTGTTAAATTTAGGTAGTGATAATTAGGTGACAAAGGCCTGGCTCCTGTAAATACACGTTTCACACATGCAAACTCTTCCACTGTTTTAAATGCTGATAGGCTGCCTATACATGTGCTGTTTTGTGTTCTAATTAGATAGAACATGTTGGAGCAGATTCGATTAATTGAGTCTGTACTGTGTTCTAATTAAAACACTCTAGCATTGGCTCACTGTCACATGTATAAGCTTTCACATGTTTTAAAATGACTGGGGGGGTGCTTTATCTAAACCAATGAGGTTTAGATAAAGCATCCCACAGCCATTTTTAACCTTGCAGGCTCTTCGTGCATGTGATGCTGAGGCATTCTAATTAGATTGACTTTTTGGGAATGACTCTAATTGAAACACACCCCCACCACCACCACCACTCCTGAGCATGCATATAGGCAACTGTAATGATTGACATGAAGCTTTACATTGTTAGTATTTGCAAGATTGGAACCTAAATAGGTGCCTAACTCAACATGTAGATACCCAAATACTTTTATAATTTGACTGCATTAATCTAAGTTAACTTTAGCTAATTTTCTAAAGTGCCTTAGTTTCACATGCAACCATTTTAAAGCAAATTATTTAGCATGTTTTATCAGTGAGTGAAATGAGACTACAGAACAAGAGTAATTTCACTTTGCAGTTAATTTGTTCACTGCCAGGTTTGCATGAAAGCCCCATGTGGAACCCTCATAGGTTTTAAAGATGAAAGTCTTGTTTGTACAGCCATGTGTTCAGGCCCATGTGGAAAAGTCACTGAAATGCAAATATATATAAGGCACTATCAGAGCAAAAGAAGAAGGGGACCCCTGGAACTTGTCTCAATGTACAACTAAAGAACAAGCACTTGAATGGAAGTCAAGGGACCAAAACAAGGGTTCCAGTAATTCTACTTTTATCTACCTATACACACCTATCAATATCACAATGGCAATCACATAGTAACTGGGTATTCATAAGAAATAAATGGAACTATTATTTCAATGCAAATCAATAGATGCAACAATGTATGTTAATCTGTATGGCAATTCCAAAACTACATGCAATACAAACAACCTGCAACCTAGACTTTGCCATACCCACCTGAATAACTTCATAAAGGTGTGCTGTTGCATACCCCAGCAGTTTTGGAAATTCTTTTGGACTCTGAAATTCTACTAATTCTAAAATAATCTTATTTTGCATATCCTGTTGCTGCCTTGGAACCTGAAAATTAAAATGGAGAATATGTGCACACTATCAACATGAAGCAATAAAAATAGGTGGTGCAACTGAGAAAAGCTGTAAATCTAAAACAAACTGACATATCTACTAAAACACTCACTACCCAGAGCAAAGAGGAACAAGTGGAAAATATTGCTATGCCAGAAGAGTCCAGCAAAATTGCCTTTGCTAGGATGTCTTAGATTCACAGGCTTCTTAGAAGTTGATAGGGGATGTTAGCTACAGTACTTTCTATTCTGGTTACCCGAGGAAACATTGAAATGCTCCTTTACCAAGAGTTTAAACAATGGAAACCACTGTGCACAGACTTAAAACATGCAAATCCTGATACTGGTAATGCAGTCCAAGCAGTTTCCCTGAGAGACGAACAGGCTGATTACTGATGAAATACCATGTTTACCTGCACACCACCTCCCCACCCCACACACATGTGCACAATCACTTCCCCCAAAATTCGGCTCTCCAAAATTGGGGTGTGTGTCTTATACGAGGAAGATGAAATAGAAGCATTGAGGATCAGAAGCATGAAGATGCTGCCCTGCAAGATGGCTTCCAGTTTTTCTCTCAGGTAGTATGCAATAAGGGTAGGGTCCAATGTTAACCCTTTCACAGGCCATCTCATACTGGCAAGGTTTTGGCTAAGCCACCAAATGAGCAGCCCAAAATTGTTGCCAATTTGAAAGTGTTAGTTAAGGGTTAATACTGGACTTCATCTCTCCTGTTTATTGTCTCAGAAAGAAGCTGGTAGCCATCTTGTAGCACTGCCTCTCCATTAAAAAGGCAGTTCTAGGCTATGCCTCTGAAAGAGCCTTTTTTTCTATATTCTGTTTTCCAAAAAAATAGATGTATGTTTTATTTGGGGGCATGTGGTATGTAAGAAAATATGGTATATGAACATATGCTTCATCAAGAAACACAAAGCCTGGAGATACCAAAAGAAGCACTAGTAACAGTGCATTTTTAACAGAAAAGCAAAGAAAGAGCTTTCTGAGCAATGCTGATTGGAAACATGGGCTTAGAATTATAAACTAAAAATTGCCTTCTGTTGCTTGATCCTACTGTAATCAGAGAAATTGGACCTCAACTACTTAGACTTCAGTAAAACACATGAAACAGTGACATGTGGAAAATTATCATTTTAGCTGGAGAAGATATGAAATAGCTCAGGAATTTTAAGCTGGACAAAAAAGCAGCTCAAGGAGATACAATAGCAGATGGATAATTCTTCAATGACTGGTGTGGGATTAATTTTAATTTTCATTCATAGCCTTTCCGGAAAAAAATGAGCTTGCTGATGAAACCTGCTGATCACACGAAGTTGGGTCAATACAGAGGGAACTTTGAATACCACACAGGAAAAACTGGATGACTGAGATCTACAGTAACAGAAATTGAATTAATTTCAATAATGCAAGGTCATGCGTTTACAGAACAATATAGACTTTTTTGCAGTGAGATTGTGAAAGATCAGGGTATGCTGGTTGATCACAGGTTGGTAGGAGCCAGCCATGGGCTGCATCTGCACCCACCTTTGATTCCTGCTCCACCCAAACTTTAAAACCAATTGCCTGGAAGTGGCAGTAGCATTTCTATTTAGGCAGCAGTGAGGGAGTCATTTGATTTCATGGTTCATTGTAATCTACCTGAGTCCTAAAACTCTTCATTCCACAAGCGTTAACAACCCTTTCTCCCTTTTTAATGGTCATGAAGTTCCACTGATTAAGCTATCCTTTCTTGTGCAATTCTGTTGTCTGTTAGGTGCTCCTGGTAACATTGCTCTTATATCAGAGCTCTGAACACTGTTTTTAACTGTAGCCAACTCAGGTGTGGAAACCTTAACTCAGGTATACGTTAACTCAGCTGTGGAAATAACTTTCAATGAGGCACTGGATGCACTGTCAAGATGCTAACTGAAAAAGAGGTATTCATTTAATTCTAATGACTAAAGGACTAACAAAACATATTTTGATTATTTTTTCCTATTTTTGTGCTTTTTATAGATGATATAGCAAATTAATGCACTTCCCAATAAAAATTATATTTGTTTATGCTTTAGTCTTACACTGAATAATATATCCCTGGACCCCTAACATAATAGTAAAGATTCAGGTTTTGTTATTGGAGAAAAATATACGTTGTGGTATATGTGATGAGGCACCTCACCATCTGCACCCCTCCTTTTCAAAATCCTAGATCTGCCCGTGGAGCCAGCAATATGATATGGGAATGAAAAAGCCCAAGATGATCCTAGGACATATCTGGCAAGGTATTTTCAACAGAAATAAGGAAGTATTATTGTAATAATGCAAGGCACTGGTAAAACACCATCTATAATACTGTGCATAATTCTGGCCATCCACGTTCAAGAAAGATGAATTCATACTGGATTAGGTAGGATAAAATGATCTATCATATACGGAGATTAAAAGAACATGGCTTTTTAGCAGAGAAAAACAGAAATAGAAGGGATATACCTCCTATCTATACATTCATCAAGTAGGTAAACATGAATATGAGAAAAATGTATTTAAGATAAAAAATAATGTTGACACAAAAATAATGTGCATAAACTGGGCATAAATACATCTGGACTAAAAACAGTGAGGCTTTTGAAAAGCTTTTCAATCTGAGTAGTGGAGGCAAAAAACAACTGCTTTAATGCAGAGCTTGATTGACTCAAGCTGACTGACTCAATAGGGGTTAGGAACAGAATTTACTATGCCCTAATAGACACAGCCATAATCCTAGCCCAGTACCCTAACAAACCCCACCCATCTTTACACCTACCTAGTTCATGGAGCCCTCAAATCTGAAACCCAGGCCCCTGAGAGATGTTCATATAAAAGCATGAGACCTGCTACTGGATGCTTGATTTTTGGATCAGGAATTAGACCTTACTTGCCAGTGCCATGGGACCTCAGAATCATGATCCATGGCACCCCCTGCTTCAGCAAGTTGAAAGTCAGATGTCCACAATCAGTTAATTGTCAGCTGTGGCCAGGAACCAAACTGGGGTCTGGAATTGGCCACAGTCAACAATCAGCTGATTGTCAAAACCCTGTTGGGCAGCACATGTCATTTTTACAGGTCCTAGAACACAGAGAATCCAGAATCAGGCTGCTGCAGCCTGATCCTAGGGTCCCATATGTTGTGATGAGTAAAAACCATGTGTGCAGTCTAGATGGGCTACACAGTTTTAACAGATCTGGCTACACAAGGAACTGTGGATCGGGGAGTCTCTCCCTGACCCCTGGGTCCAATCACGCTGAGACCTTTAAAAATGTATGTGCAGCTGAACTGCATGAGCGGTTTTTGGACATCCCTGATGTATAGGGACCGTGCGATTAGGGAGAGGCTCCTTAATCCCAGGGTCCCTGGGCACCAGGAAGTCAGAAATCCATGTGTGCAGCCCAGCTGCACACACAGTTTTTAAAGGTCTGGGGTGCAATCTACTAAGTAATATAATTTACCTTGCCTCTATTTTGAGTCTAGAATCTCTTGGACAAAGTATTCCTCCTGACCATGCAGTATTATAGGCAGAGATTTACTGAATTTGCAATTTTCGTGGAAATCATGAATTTGGCCCATTTCCACAAAAAAGCACAGGGACCATGAAAAACAACAAAATTGGTAATTGGGTGAGGGAGGGAGGAAGAGAGCTGCAAAACCAGAAAAGAGTGGAAAGGAGAGGGAGCAAATTGGAGGCTAAGTCCGTGATGTAGGCTCAATCCAATAGCCAGTCAGAGGCCAGCCAGGCAAGCCAGGGGGGTTTTGGCACCTACAGCATGCTCCTGCAGCATGCATGCTAGATCCCCCCTGAGAGAGACCAGAGATGAACATGACGAAGTCTTCCAAGATTGCCCAATACATTTCAGTGGTGAACTGTGCAAAACAGTACCCCACAGGGACCTTGCACACAAACAGAGGCAAACTCTTCTGTATCCCCTGCAATCTAACTCTGGATGTGTCCAGGAAAGCTAGCACTGATTGTCACTTGAAGTCCAAGGCACACATGAAGAGGAAGGCAGCTGCAGAAGCTGAAGGTCAAGGCAAGAGGCAATGTCCTTCCAGTTTAAAAGGACCATGGAAAGAAACTTGGCAAGGAAGGGGCAGCCTCCCTTGTGGAGGCTTTTATGGAGATGAACATCCCACTGGAGAAACTCAGTCACTCGAAGCTAAAGGACTACCTGAACCCAAATGTGCCAAATGCTGGCAGTTTCCTGAGTGCCAACCAGCTTCACCGGGACTATCTCCCTGAAGTGATTGTTTCACATGGTCACTCCACAAAGGCTGCCTTAGCAGAATATTATTCCTTTTCCGTTGTGGCTGATGAAGCCACCAACCCTTAGGATAACTATGTGCTGCACATTTTATTTGTAGTGGGGAGCTGGACCAACCAGGACCTACCTGTGTTTCAACCTCAGCTGGTCCACCTCATCTCTGTCAATTTGTTTACAGCCTCCCAAGCAACCGTGAAGGTAATTGTCAGTTACGGTGCAGACTTTAACAAGATCTCAGCATTCCTGTCTGACAGTGCCATGTACTTGTGCAAGGCTTTCTCTGATGTGCTCCAAGGAATGCTGCCCAATGCTGTTCATGTCACCTGCAATGTACACATTCTGTCCCTAGTGACATCTGGCACAGACAGTTCCTTGAGGTGGATAGCCTGGTGTTTTCTTTCAAGAAAAGCCTTAAAGCACTGTCCAGGTTGTAAGGTCCAGGAAGGAAGGGTGTAAGGTACAGGGAGTCCCTCAGCAGTGAAAGCAGGGGACTCAAATGGCACTGTACTGCTGCCACCAGAGTCTGTGCTTACACGGTGGAATTCCTCATTCAATGCAGTCTGTTATTATGCCAAGCACATGCAGCACTACCAGTAGTTTGTGAGTGAGGAGTTGGAAATCACACCCAGCATACACTACATGTTCAAACTTCATAATCTCTTAGGGTGAGGCAACATTCAAGATCAAGTAATGTTTGTGGCT